GGGTAGATGGGGGGAGGGGGGGGACAAGGGTAGATACAGAGGGGATCTGGGGCAGATGAGGGGTACCCAGGGATGGATGGGAGGAGGACTAGACCAGATGGGAGGCACCTGGGACAAAAGGGGGGCCAAAGGTCTGGTGAGACCCAGGGCAGATCATGGGGACCCAGGGGCAGATGAGGCAGAGCTGGGGCCGACAGAGCCAGGATCCTGGGGCGGATGGGGGAAGCCAGGGTAGATGGGGTGGTGCTGAGGCAATGGGAGGACTTGGGGGTCGTTGGGGGGGTGCAGAAACAGAAGGGGGAATCCTGGGGCAGACGGGGTCACCTCAGGGTGCATGGGGATGGGAACGAAGGGCAGATGGGGGCCCTGGGATCTGCCTCCATGGTGGGACCCCACACGTAGTGTGCATCCCCTCCATAGGACCCTCCGTCGTCCCTGGATGGGTGCTGGGCCCAGGGGTGCAATCCAGGAGGGGAAAATCCCCCTGGCAGAGCCGGGACTCGCTCCCAGCCCTGAGCCAATGGCTCTACCAGCCCCACAGCCCCGTGCCTCAATTTCCCCTTTTGGAAAAAAAAAGGGAGCTAACAGTGGGACAAGAGGACAGGGCAGTCCTCTGTCATGACAGTGACTTTCGCTTGGCTGCCAGGTCACCCTGGGGTGACTTTGCTCTGGATTTGAGTGTTCAGTCACCCTGACAGGCCCAGGAGGCGGTGGCTGTGGGTGAGCTGGGAACAGACGGGATGGGATATAAATGAGTTGTTTCTCACACACGTGTAATTCCTCCTAATGGCTTTCGCACGATTTCTGTGAAAAGCCTAAAAATATACTCAGATTCTCATAAAAAAACCTCATCTGAATGCAAAATACACGCTGGGAGGGGGTCAAGGGGGGAGCAGAGTGGATTACCCGGAATAAGGGGCATCGCCCTCGTAGCACTGCTGGTTCAGGAGGGGAAATCAGCCAAATTCAGGTAAAAATTGAGATGCAGCCCCTGGACAGGGAGAGCTGGGCCATGTCCCATGGCGGAGCAGCATCCCAGATCCTCGTTTGATGAGAAACTCAGAGCAACCCTTCTCTTTGGGGGTGAAACATGGCGGGGGGGGCCCTATCTCAGGGTCCCCCCACCTGAGCCACTTCTGTCTTAATTGCGCAAGATGAAAATTAATAATATTTTTTAAAGAAAAAAAATGTATTA